GGAGCGTTAATGTGAAGATACAGAGGAGCTGGACTGAGTGTCTCTACAGTTACTCTACAGGTCTGAGGATGATGGTAGAAAGAGAGGCTGAAGAAAATTCAGTAGAGATTTTTCTAATCGAATGCCACCAAAGGAATTGATTTCAGTTTGTTTGAGATGCTGTAGGAAGGGCCTAGTGGCGAGGACGTGTCGCCGCTCTGTGTCATGGCAGGTTTACCACATGGCGCCCCAAATAGAGCCTGTGTCACACTGTGCACGAGAGAGCCCAGTGTGACACAGAAGGCTGAGGTCTGGGCTTTCAGCACAGCAGTGTGACGCCCACACAGGGGCGAGGTGTGGAGGGGACAGCCTCGTCTCGTCTTCAAAGCTTGTCAGGAGAGAGGTTTCGGGCCTTGCCTACGACTTCTCTCACTCCTCCCACAGGTGGTCCAGCTGACGTGCTCCTCTGACACTGCTGCCCGGTCGTGATGCACTGTGGGGTCCCCCCCGCACCCCCTGCAGAAGAGGGGGTGTCCCTGCTGGAGAGTTTATTTCAGAGTAACCAGCCCACCACCCGAAACGCCCTCCAGCACACGAGGGTGGAACTCAGCCACAGCATAATGAAAGATTTAAACCACACAGAGTTCCTGAGCGGGGCTCGTTGATGCGGAGTGACCCCAGTTCATGACAGGTTCCTTCTAGTTCAGGCCCCTGTAGCGCGAGCAGAGCCTTGACATCTCTAATGATGCAGCAGTCAAGACCTCAGATTAACGGCTCAGCTGGAGGACGGCTCCTCCTACAGCCCCCGGTCATGTAACTGGGACACTGGTTTCGAGGTTCTGGTCCAGAAGGAGGAGCGCCACCTACTGGTCCACTAACACCACTTACAGCAGCATCCTGCTGAGCTCCTGAGATCTGAGGAAATCGGCCTGCAAGGTGCTAACACTTGTGCCTTTTTTGTGTTTCAGGGGTCTCTATCCTCCTGCCCCCCCTCTCTTCTATCCTCCTGCCCCCCCCTCTCGCCCTCTCTGCCTCGGTCCCTCTCTCTCCCACCATGCCTCGCTCATTCCTCGTCCGCAGCAGGAAGGGAGGATCTTACCCTGGTCTGAGGTTCATGGGGGACAGTGACTGCAGAGCGGAGGAGCCTGGAGAACAGGGTGAGAGAGAGGAGGAGAGGAGAGAGGGTGAACAGGGTGAGAGAGAGGAGGAGGAGAGGAGAGAGGGTGAACAGGGTGAGAGGGAGGAGGAGAGAGGGTGAACAGGGTGAGAGAGGAAGAGAGAATAGAGGGTGAACAGGGTGAGAGAGAGGAGGAGAGAGGAGGGAGGAGGAGAGTGGAGGAGGAGAGGATGAGAGGGAGGAGGAGGAAATGAAGAGAAGGAGAGGGAGGAGTAATGAGAAGAGAGGGAGGAGGAGAGTGGAGGAGCAGAGGGTGAGAGGGAGGAAGAGGAAGTGAAGAGAAGGAGAGAGGGAGGAGTAAGGAGGTGAAGGGAGGAGGAGGGGAGAATTAGGAGGAGGAGAGAAGGAGAGAGGGGGAGGTGGGGAGAATTAGGGGGAGGAAGAGGAGAGAGGGAGGAGGTGGAGAGAAGGAGAGAGGGAGGAGGGAGGAGAAAGGGAGGAAGGGAGAATTAGGAGGAGGAGGAAGGGAGAATTAGGAGGAGGAGAGAGGGAGAGGGGGGAGGAGAGAGGGTGAACAGGGTGAGAGGGAGGAGAGAGATTGAACAGGGAGAGAGAGGAGGGAGGAGAGAGGGCAGTCTGGGGAGGGAGGGAGCAGGCAGACAGGTGGGTGGTGTCGGGCTGCAGTCTCCCCATCCTGGGTGAGTTCAGACGTGTTAGCGAAGGCTCACGTGCACTCCCTCTCTCCCGCAGGGCGAGCTCCCTACAGAGTCGTGAGCTGCGTGCAGGAGCTAAAGGGGAGCCCCTTGCTGAGGACCCCCCACAGCTGGGAGCCCCTGTACACACCCAGTGCCTTCCAGGAGCCGGCAGAGGCGCCGGCCTCGCCCCCGGGCCCCCAGACGGCCCTGCCCCACGCTGCCTCGCGCACGGAGCAGGGCTGTGGCCTGCCTCTGGCTGCAGGTGAGCCCGACCGACTGCTCCTGCAGGCTGCGGGGTCCTGGCCTGTGCTGACCCGGGCGGTGGTGAAGTCAGCGAGTTCTGCCCTCTGCCCTCTGACCCTCATCTGTCTCCCCCTCCAGAGGTGCAGTCTGCGCTGTCAGCCCCGCGCCCCCCCTGCCTGCCCTGGGCTCCTCTGCAAGAGAGTCCGGAGAGGGAGGGGGACCTGGAGAAACTCCTGCGCGCCCTGCTGAGCGAGAGCCGTGGGCAGGGCGAGAGCGGGGAGCCCCTGGGCTGCAAGCTGGCGCCCGGCCGGTGTCCCCTCTGTGGGAAGGTGAGTGAGGTCGAGAGTGGCGCCGCAGCCCAGCCGTGTGCCCACTGAAGAACGTGACAAAGCAAGAGCATGGGTCTGTCACGAAGCTAATGAATCTGTTATTGATCCTTCCCCAGCTCTTCTCCTCCTCTCCTGGCCTGGAGACACACCTGCGCAGGTCACATGTCAGCAGGCTGGCCCTCCCATTGGCTGGCTACACCAAGGCTAGCAGCCAATCGTATGGCTTCAGGCCGGAACTGGGCATCCAGTGCAGGGTCAAGGTAAGGTCAAAGAACAAAGGGCATTTTCAGGAGTGTTGTCTTCTTTTGTTGCTTCAATTGTGAAGCTGGAGATATCATGAAGGACTCAATGTGAAAGCAGGAATCTGATATTTCTAAAGCTCTCACTTTTAATACTACAGTATGTTACAAAACAGCGAGGCTGATCTGGAAAATGTGATAACTGTGCTGTGTGTTTCAGGAGCGCAGTTTCAGCTGCAAGGTGTGCGGAAAGGTGTTCAAGCGCTCGTCCACGCTGTCCACTCATCTGCTCATCCACTCGGACACACGGCCCTACCCCTGCCAGTACTGTGGCAAGAGGTTCCACCAGAAATCTGACATGAAGAAGCACACCTTCATACACACAGGTGAGCAACTCCTGTTATTGTCTGTATTAACCCCAGTGTCTCTCTCTCTCTCAGTGGTAGTGTACAGGACTGTCTGTATTAACCCCAGTGTCTCTCTCTC